TATTAAATTTTCATATAAAATTTATATCTAAAAATTTTAAAAAAAATTAAGCCATAACTACTAAAATGAACTAGGGACTATTATTTTGATTAGCAAGTACTGCAACGTAAAACACGTATGATGAACTCAGAGAAAAACAAATTCAATTTTTTTCCCAATGCACTATATATAGGCCAATGTCCATGGTGCTCGGTTGATGCAATTCTTAAGATTGTTCAGGAAATTAAATAATTAATCTTGAGATGTGCAAATAAATACACAAAGACAATAACCCTCCAAAAAAAAAAAAACAAAAAGTTAAAGTGTGATAAATTAAATGATATTTTCTCTCATCCAAAGCAGGAAAATTGCCCAAATCCATACAGACGGCAAGAATAAAATGAAAGCAAAAGAAGAGACTTGAGAGTGACAAAATCAAAACAAAATCTGTAAAGTGTGGACCTATTATCAAGTAATTCTCCTCTTTAGAGCTTTGAACAAATCAAATATCCTTGAATTGGCATGGAAGGCACCTCTTTATTCCAACCAAAACCCTATATATATCCCCCTCTCTACTTCAGTCACCTACAACTCGAAAACGATGGCTTCTGAAACGATGAAGTCCAGCTCCACCCTCGAAGGAGACAAACAGCGTCAGCTCGACCGAGAAATCAAAGGCATGGTGTCCGCCATAACCCAACGCATATCTGAGATTCACAAGCCTGGATCAAGCCGGCACGAGGAGGACGGGGACTCTGGTGGTGCAAATGTCATCATGCTGGCCGGTACCAACCATGGTGCCACCATGCGGAGCGAGATGGACGAGAAATCTGGCGTGCCTCAAGGCAAGCTGTCCGTGGGGGAGCCCGACGCGTTGAACACATACGTGAACAGTAACTTCCAAGCGGTCAACAACTCGATCATGCTTGATAGCCGCTACAAAACTCATGATCCCGGCGTCCGCATGGAGGTGTCGGATGGTTCGGAGTTCAGTCATCAAGGTCCAAAGGAGAAGAAGAAGGGAAAAAAGAAGAAGGAGAAAGAATCATCCGAGAGTGATCAGCGAACTGGTGAGAAGGAGAAGGAAACCGACGATTCAGATTAATTGAATTAATCACAGCTTAAGTATAAAGGAAAAGAGGAATTTACTTGTTTACTTAATCATATATGCATGTTGTCTGAATGTCCGAGAGTGTGTCTTGATTTGCATGTATGCTCAATAAAGTTTTTCTACCATATATTAAAAAAAGTGTGCTTAATAAAGTTTTTTTTTTTCTTTTTTCTGATTTTGTATACTTTGATTTTGTATATTGTACTTAAATCAATAATTCTGTGTCAGAAAAAGTATTAAGACTTTTTCTGCTGTTTAATGATTCTTGTTTCCTAATATTTGAGCACAATTAACTACAAAATATGAACTCTTCAAGTGTTGTAGGAAGAAAAAATTGTTATGCATTTGAGAGGATATAAGATTGCACAATAAAAACAATTTGATAAAAGATTGAGTCTTTAATATTGAAATCCTTTTTAAATCTAACTGTTCACATTTTCCAGTTTAATATGTAAAACAAAAAAACTTTGGTAAGATTATGATTTGTTGGTCCAGACAAAACAAGTTCAATTCTTTTTTCAAAATTAATTAAAATTTAATATGATTTTTAAATATCGAAATGTTAGTAAAAAAAAAAGAAACTCTTGGTAAGAAAATGTTATTTTTAGTTCATTTGATTGATAATCCACTATTGCCAGCATGGCAACATGTTGTTGATAGATAAAAAGAGCACCAACCAAGAGTAGAGATGGCAACGGGTCTTCACGGAGACTGAGACCCCCTATCATCATTCTCATCCTCAACAATGATAGATACAAGAATTCTCACAGAGATTTTTGACAAAAGTAAAAAATAACATCCGTCCACATACTCACAAGTATTCGAAATCCTTACTAAATGTTAAATATGTAAAATTTAACTTTATTTTGTTTTTGATAAATAAAAAAAATAAAAATTTAAAATAACTCAAACAAATAAGTATATTAACATATAGTTCAGCAAAGTAATATTTAGTAACTTAGTGTAGCAAATATACACCGTCATACATATCCAACAGATTTAGTAACAAGTTCATAAAAAAAATGTATGAATTACCATACAAATTCAAGTTAGATTAAGTTATTGAATTGGGTTTGAGAAGACTAAAACTAGAAAAAAAATTAAGTTAGGTAATTTAGATTAAGTTGGGTTAGTCAATTAGGTTTTGCAAATAAAAATTAATTGATAATATATTTATAAGAACATATAAAAATAAATTTATCTATTTTTTATTATATATAAATCTCTACAAATTTCCATGAGATAAAGAAAATTTCCCATAAAATTTTACAAAGAAAAATATGCCTTTATCCCCAAAAGAAAAAAAAATTCTTAAAATTTCCATCTTTTTGCAGCAGGAATCTCTGGATCTTCACAAGTTTCGGAAGAAATTCCCATTCCTAGCCAAGAGATCACACAAACAAGACGGGTCAACAAAATATCGCTTACCTTTCTCATACCAAGTTCATGCCTTCCTCGTGTCAGTCCACGTATCCAAACCCAATCTCATAAACCCTTCACAAAATCACCTATATAAATCGCACGTGAAGATACGCGCCAATCTCAGTGGTAGTCTTTTAAGTTTCTCAACACGTGTACAACTAGGATTTGATCGTGACATCCTCTCAACTTCGCTCGTGAACGTAGTTAAAGGGGCAGTCAAAAGTTCAACTCCCTCTCCAGACTCCAAACTTGTTCTTACTATTTCTCGTCTTTACGACTCTGTCTCCCCTATGGAGAATTCGCAAGGCCTGAAAAAGCGGTCTCCGGCGGAGGAAGTGAAGTTGGCCGCAGCCGCGATCAGCCTCAACGTGCGGCTGAGATCCTCCGACATGCCAATCGATATCCAAGAACACGCCATGCGTTGCGCCAGATCGCTCGTTGATTCCGCTCCCAAACGCCGCCCCAACCTGACCCACCTCGCCCGAACCTTAAAAAAGGTACGTAAACCCACAACCTTGCTTGCAGCTCTAATCATTCGTGTATGCACGTATAAACTCAGGCCTGTTTCAGGAGTTTGACTCGGAGTATGGACCCGCCTGGCACTGCGTGGTGGGAACGAGTTTTGGGTCGTTTGTCACTCACTCACCTGGTGGGTTCCTGTATTTCTCTGTTGACTCGCTCTCCGTTCTTCTATTCAAAACAGAGGTTCTGCTGGTGATGGAACCGGACGGCGAAAAGAGGCTCTGAAAATTTTGTACGTACAGACGTAAAGCACATACGACTAATATTAATTTTCAGTGTATTTCTTTTAGATTTAGAAGTTGTGTCTGAATGGAGAGCAAAGATTGGTGGGTGCTTCCTAGAATTGGGATTCAAGTTTGCATTTTTTATAAAATTTCTGTAGGGTTAGAGTGTTCGGAAAGTGGTCAGAGGTCAGAGGAGACGTGCTTGTGCATGAAAAAGATTGAGGAAATATAAAAGATGGAGTAGTTGTTGGAAAAGTATGCTTGTTAATTTAGTAATATAACGACTACCAAAAACCGAAGTAATGTATAGTAGACTCATGAATGCTGTACTAAAAAGGTCAGGTTACTAGGCTTCGGTACTGGGCTGCTGCAGAAGGATGGTCCGAATCTGAACACCATGAGGTCTGGAGGTTTTTTTTTTTTTAATAATAATTATACTGAAAATTTTAGTACCTGTTCTTTTAAAAGATGGAGGAGTGTTAAACCTGAAAGCCGTTTTTGGATTGGTTTTTGATGATAGATAAATGATACTGCATAAAAAATTTTATTAGTCAAATTATTTGAAATATTTTTGATAACTAGAATTATAACTGAATTAAATATTTAGTTTGAGTTCAGCATGGAAATCTTATTTGAAATTTTCTTAGATAATCGAAAATTCAGTTTAGTTCAACCATCCGAAGCAAATGCCCAGCCCTATATAATAACATTGAGCAAAACTTTCTTGCAAGCACTGATAGCCTTTGCTACTGTGGATTTATTGCAGGGCATGTACTGATGGTAATGAAGAGTCAAGCATGGGGGGGGAGGGGGGTGGATTCATATTAAACAAACAGATGTGTAATCTTGTAGTACAAGGATTCGACATGCAGAAACTCCCAAGTCCTAACCGACGTGGGTTTAGAACTGACAAAGATCTCAGAAATTTAGACTGCATAAGCCGGAGTAAAATGTATATTTCTATAGAATGAACAGAAGCTATAGAACAATATTTTTATGACTTCCCTTCGAACAAGATTTCTGTGAAACAGAATTCCATCCAACCTGATATAAGTTTTGACGATGTGAATACCTGTAAGGACTATAGATAGACTGAACCACATGCTCCAAGGTTTGAGCTTAACGCTGCAAACTAAGACAAGTTTCTCTCCAGCATAAGAGATTCTATCTTCGCTACGTCTTCAGGAGTGTCAACCCCATGAGCATCATGGTCAACCTTTATTACCTGCAGGAAAAGATGCTTAACATTCAGTTTTACAAGTTGACATCGAACTAGATCCACCAGAGTGCAACTCATTTCAAATTAAGCCTTAAACTACTTGAATCAGGTGGCCTTAGCTATGTGAATAAATTTCCCAACCTCATCATGTCACTCAAGTCAAAGGAATAAAAGATTTTCCCAATACCTTCATCTTATAGCCATTCTCAAGGACTTTCAGCTGTTCCAGATCCTCTTCTAACTGCAGTGGAGTAGGCGGAAGCTGTGGATATATCTTTAAAAACTCTGAATCATAGCTCTGGCCAGCATACAGAATGCATACTGTTAATTCCAAAATGTAAATGGCAACTTGTTTTCCTTTCTATCTTTAAAAAGGAAAAATGAAAAGAGCAATCACTATACCTGGATACCAAGATGAAGCAAGTATGGAAATTTAGGGTTGACCTTCCCTGACCTGTGCAAAGGAGGTTGATAAATTCACATTAAAATGCATTTAATTTAACGCTCATGCACCCTTAAATGCAAATGACTGCCAGGATGTATTATCTCACTTGTTATACGGAATTAGCCCCCTTGAGAAATAAATAGCATAACCACGATTATCCACCACACATTTTACTCTATTTGGATCAAATGCATCTTCAGGTTTCAAAGATGTAACAGCAGTGCTAAAAACAGCATCAGGGGCTGCCTGCATCATAAATTTTACATTAAGGATGGTAAAAAATATGCATACAAGAAATCAGAAATATCTACTGCAATAATATTAATAAATAACTATTGATTTGCTTTCCAACATGCAAGAATACTAAAAGCATCTCAAAACACACAAGGACTGCAAGAAAAACCAATGCACCTGCAGAGCTTTAACAACACCATCTATTATCTCAGGTTCAATTAGAGGCTCATCCCCCTGAATATTCACAACAATATCATACTTCTTCTCCAGATTTTGAAGTGCTTCATTACATCTTTCAGTGCCTATAATTTCAAAAGAAAAAACTGTAAGCTGTCACCAGCAAATCCAATATTGATGTCAGAAGTGCAACATCATATAAATATGGCACCCACCATTTCGACAAGACTCTGATGTCATCACCACATCTGCACCAAATCCTCGACAACATTCTGCAATTTTTTCATCATCCGTAGCCACAACTAGAGCAGGAAGAAATAATTAAGTCAGTATATAAATGCATGGGAATAGATAAAAAAAGATATAATTAAAAAGAAAACAGTAAAAAGACATCAAAAACTCCAGAACAATGAGCTCAAATTTTCCATATCAAGAGATTATTACATCTACCATATATACAGCTAAATCTTTTAAGGACCCAATTTTCATTAATGATAACAATCTGAATAAGAGGTTCACATCACCAGATACATAAAATTATGAAAATTATAGGCCTTTTACAAGTAGGAAAAAACATACACCCAGGAGAACTATGAGAAGTACAGGAAAAAAAATCATATTCGTGATCATCAAAAACTAAAACCTAAAAGCATGCAAAATTTTAGGCTAAAAGAATGCTTTTAAAGGGATATCATGCAGATGTCTCACAATCTAACCAAATAACTTATAAAATCGAGATTCAGTTATTTTCTATCATCTCATCTCAATCCCCATTCCTCAAAACAATTTCTTCTTCATGTTCAACCATCTGGCCAATCTTAATTGTGCATCAAATAAAAATATTTGAAATTAATGCAATAAACATACCTACATGATCCAATGTAGTGGCTAATTTGGACCTTTCCCAAGTTCTCTGTTTAAGAGCAAAAGAAATGCCAGTTAGAGCTAAGAACATTAAATTTGCAATATCTCTGAGAAAATATCAATGATTGGTTGGCTACTGGAAAAGAAGGATGGAAGCACTAAAAAAAACCAGAAATGAAACTAAAAGATCCAGCAATGATGTTTTCATTCCCAAAAAAAAACAAATCCAAGTTAACCAGAGGCAAGAAATTTTACTAAACCCTTTTGCAACCTCTACAAACTGAGTGATACTGGAACATCCCATTGGTTACCTCCCTTGTCAAATCCAAAAGCCAGATGTCCTAAGTGTGACTTCTCACTTTGATTAAATAACACATTTGAAATTATCTTGTTAACACACCCAGATCATGTAAACAATTCAGCTTAATTAATCCTTGACTTCATTTGGAAGTCTATCTATCCTTCTTCCAGGTGATCAACCAATATCAAAACTAAACAGAATTCCTGAGATCATTATGCAAGAACGGTACGTATCCCAATATCTATTTGGGATTTTTAACCAATTGGGATTCTTGAACTCAATTATGACTCCAGATCACTGACTCACTCATCAAATATTCACAAATTTGCACAAAATGAGGTTGAAATTCATCAACTTAAAACATTCAATTCATTTTTTCCACAGTAAAGATTTACTACCAGCCATCCATAAAACAAAATTAATAAAAATTTATCAACAAAAAAAAAATCAAATGATTCATATCTAAAATAATAACTATAACAACCAATTTATTCACTGCCTAACGATCTAGTAAAATAAGAGAAAAAATATTCAAATTGCCCATAAATTGATCACAGTTGACACTTGAACGAGGCTGAGTACATAAAGTTAGAAAATTTATATTTATATGTGTACAGAAATGAGATGAAATCAAGAGAAAATAAGATAACTTTTTACCTGGATCATGGGTTTCCCGAGTATGTTGACTAAAGGCTTACCCTGGAATCGAGAGGAGGCGAAACGGGCAGGGATAATGCCCACGACTCGGCTCCGGAACTTTTTAGATCGACCCAGATAGGCGTGCGCACCTATAGCTATGGCAACTGCTGCTCCGGCGATGATGGTATGCAGGATGAGCGTTTTAGTGTGGGACGAAGAAGAAGAGGAGGAGGAGGAGGAAGAAGATGAAGACGATGAACAGATTGACAATGGGGTCATATTCAACTCCTGTCTGAGAATTTCTGCTTGGGGAGAGATCTGAAATTAACAGTGCAGAGATTCACATGAGACCTTCACTGGAACATTTTATTTTCGACTTATGAGTTGAGCCCTGTTTACATTTTTTCCAAGTAAAACAGCGACCTTCGATGAGGAGGAGTCCATATTCTGCAGGCCTCCACTTTCGCATTCAAAGGGTTGATATTTTATTGTATGTTATATAAAGGTTAAATGTTAAGGGATTGGTGTTTATTTATATTATCTTTATAAAATTAAGAAAAAAAGGTAAAAAAATATATTATTTATGTTTTTAAAATAAAATATTTTAATTTTTTTAATAAGTGTTTATTAAAATGATGTAATTTTAAAAAATATATTCTTTTTAACCTTTAAGAGGTAAGATGAATAAGTAATATTTTCAAATATTAATTTTTTTTCTTAACTTTAAAATTTTATATAATTTTTAATTTTTAATTTTTTAATGCATTTTCTTTAATTTTTTTATTAATTAATTTGATAAGTTTATTTAAATATATATTTTTAGTCCCTTAATTTTAAATTAAAAGATAAAAAATATGTATATATTAAAAATTAAAGGATTAAAATATGTAAATTTAAATAGATTTAATAAACTAATTAATGAAAGGACAATGTATTATTTATAGTTAAAAGAGAAAAAAAACACATAAAAAAATTAAGGGATAAAAATTATACATATATTAAAGTTGAAGGATCAAAATTGAAATTTAACTTTACATAAATAGTTTTTCTTTCAACTATTAATAGTAAAATTATAATTTTAAAAAATGAAATAATTTGTCAAAGAAGGTAATATAAATCACAAATAAAAAATAAAAAGGAATATTTAAAATATTATAATTTAATTAATTAAAATTTTCATCTCTCTCCTCCCTTTCCTGGAAGGAAGTATCCCATTAAGGTGTTGAAGAACATGTGAGATTTACCAAGAACATTTTTAGCAAAGTTCAGAAGTTTAAGACCTGTAGTTTCAGTTGTTAAGACTGCGTATAGAGCGTCACAAATCACAAATAAAATAATAAAATAACATTTATATCTGAAAAATACAATTTGACATTATGAACCAACCAATAGATTGGATCAAATAGTTCTCCACTAAATTATGTTTTGTGAAGCAAAATCACAGAGATGGTCCCTGATTTTTCACTCATAATTAAGCAACTAAGATTATGGGGCTCAACATTCCAGATTCAGAACTCCAGTCACCGCAAACTTGTCTAGTACCTTTTCTCCATGCCAGAAACAGAAAACAAGCATTAACCACCTAATTAGATTGAATCCATTAGATGCTTTGCATCAATCAATTTAGAAGGTTCAGCTCCAGCAGGCATTGTGATCTCTAATGCAACCCAGCACAAGTGACATGAAGGGCTTTGCCATCACTGCATTGAGTAGATACATTCTTTTGCTACACAGATTTATGCAGCTAGAATCCATTTGAAGGCATGGGGGAATATCATCCTAGTGACTCCATGGTGAACCACCAGTATAACGACTAAAACTCATACCATCATTATGGTTATGCCCCAAACTTTTTTTTCTTGAACCCTTTCCTTTCCTTGAGCCACTTTCTTCGTGTCTGGTCCTCATTTCACCATTTTCTTTCAGTTTCTTCTTGCTAGACTTCTCCTTGGATGAAGATTTTCTCTTCTTTCCAGAGGAATGAGCACTAGCATCTTCAGCAATACCTTGACCTCGAGGCAGCGGCTCTTCATCATCTAACTGCCAATTGCACAAAATCTCTTCCTGGTGGCCAGAGAGTGGTTCTAAAGGCTCTCCAGCTCCAGGAAGCAAGGCAGTAAAAGTTACTCCACCATTGGATCCCCCTTTGCGCTCCAGCAAGGCCGGATCTGGCCTTATTATGGTCCCAAGTATGCTTCTGTTAGGCCCCAGGCCCAAAATGGTCTTTGGATTTGTCAACGTTGTAAACGCCATTGCAAAGGCTGATTTGATCTGCAATAAAGAAGACATAACTAACCCATTCTCAGTTAAAATATTTAGATAGCACATGGATACTGTGTTTCTGTTGTTATCTTATTGAATAGATATAGACCACACAATGTAACATCATTTTGTAGTTCATGGTGGTACTCAAGTACTCAACAGAGTAAAGTTCTAAACGTCTATAAGTTCTTTGCAGAAAAACAATTTCTACTTCAAAATCTGAGAGCACCATGCGACTCCTATCATGAACAGAAGGGAAAGAAAATAAATGGCCAAGCAAACCTGGATATAGTTAAAGGAGTTCTTCCCAATGTCATTTTCTGGTGTCTGTTTCATTGTTAGAAGGAAAAAAAAAAAAGAATTAAAGCCAAACCAAAAAGTAAGAAACAAATCAACAATAGTCATAATGCCAAGGGCAACAGAAGGTCCCAACACCCACATGCCCATGCCCCCTTGCCAGAACATACCCACTTCACTTAATACAGTATGTAGAAGGCATCTTGTACTGCTGTACGCTTGGACATGGGAAATAGGAGAGAAGCCCTTGGGTATAAGAAGCCTGTAGTTGCCACTAGCATTCCTCTATTTTAGTATAGAAAAGATGAAAACATAGAAGGCTACTACCTGTGGGTCCTGGATGGAAATAAGAAATGGCCGTCCTTTATTTGCAAACCTACAAGAGTAGCAAACCAAGAAGAAAAACATATATAACTTTAATCACCAGAATTTTGGGATGAAAAGAAAATGACTGCTTGATAATGAAGGAAAATGTCTTCTCTTTACCCTCTGCTGCTTTTCAGGAAGAAGGTCCCTCTTCCATTGCAAGACACACCAACATCCGCAGTGTTCAATTTTCTTCCATAAAAATCAAAAAAGTGTACCTGACTTCCAAAGAAACACATCTGTAAAATTTGCAGTCTAAATTTTCATTTTCTAGTCTGTTCATTAAACTGCCCAAAAAGTTTCCCAAACCCATATTTCTGAGGTCCATCACATCACAAGGACAAGTAACCATAGTTCACCCCAAGGATAGCAATGAATATTATAAATTTATAATAACAAAGTTGATAAGAAAGCATACCAAGAGGACCCCTAAGTTATGTTCCGGAGAAGTTTGGGTTTCACGGAGACTCTGTAACATAAAAATATTGAAAATTTTAACAACTTTGAAAATTATGCATCTCCAATTGGCATAATATGAAAATTTTAAAACATTCTAAATTTTAATTGCCTGCAACATTGCCATAAGCATGGAAAGGAGAGCATATGAACCTATTCCTCCTGAATAAACCTGCAAGTCAGACAAAATCTTGAATCAAGGATGGTAAATGACCAAATATTTGAAGCAAGAGAATCATACTCAACTCTAAGAATATAGCAAAACAAACTCAAACCTCATTGAGCTCTCTCTGTTGTAAGAATACTTTCAAGATCAAACACAATGGGCGAATTGGAGGCCACTTTGATACAGCATCCTGTAAGGAATAGCAATAACTAAAATTTTTCAAAGCACATAAGAAACCCAAAAAAGATACCTGAACTTACCAGAATCAACCTTTAAAATAGTGTGAAATAAAACATTATGAGTGGGAAAGACAGATTGTGACAAACCTTGATAAATTCAGCAGCTTTTGGTCCATTATCTGCATCAAAGCTGTGAAATTTATCACCATTCAAATACAAAAAATGTTAGATAGCAATACAGAAGAAAATAAAGTTGTCAAAATGTTTCAATCAACCAACCTGAAGAGATTGTTTAAATTTACAAAAGAAATGGTTGGTGATGCTTATTTATTTAAACAAGTCTTAAAATAAATGTAGAGAAGCAAGTGAAGTAAACAAAAAAAAAAAAAAAAAGGCATATTCATTATAAACATTATAATCACAAAAGAGAAAGCAAAAAAGTAAGTCACACAGCAGATATTTATAGCTAGTTTGAAATTAAATCCAAAATACCTTATGTCAAACGAAACGCCACTTTTCTTTTCCACAAATTTAATTATTGGTACACGAGCTTTTGCAATCACCTGAAAAAAATTTAGCACTTCAGATTCTTGGGTGGATTAGTGACTATAAAAATAGTATTCCAAATCAAAGAAACATACTTGCATTTTTTTTGCAATCCCCCTCTGCGATAATGCCCTAGAAAGTGCCAGTAAACCAGGCTGTGGGTTTTTGATACCAGACTCCAGAATCACAACCTACAAGAAGTTATCAAGCTCCTTATTCCTTAGTCACATCTTTTTAGTCAGACTAATAAATGGGGATGATAACTATTTTAAAGAAAACATATTGAAGAAAATTGTTGCTCATAAGATCCAATGTATTCTTTTTTACAAAGAAAAGCAAATAGCCTGTTTGAGAAAACATCTGATGCATGAAAAACATTTTCTAGTATTTTTTTCCAATTTTCTTGTCATTTGGGAAGCCCAAGGGGGAAAATTAGGCAGCTCACTTATAAAGATGGTGTATCAACTGTTAGGAAAGGGCTAGGTTGCTCATATGCAAGGAATTTCAACACATTTTGAAATATAATTCTGAACTTACATCAATATCACTTGTTGGTAAATAAAGCCCTGTCCTGAATGACCCAAAAACCTCTGCCTACAAAGATAAAACTGTGTCAAATAAAGCACTTGCATAATGTGTTTGAATGTGCAACTGTGAAATTGTGCTTAACATGTCTGGTGGGTGTGGGTGTGGGTGTGGGGTGTGCAAGTGAATTGTACCTTGCAATTGGGCCATATATATTTGATAACATCAAATACACATTCCACGGCAGCATCACGGGATGCTTGCTCTCCTGGAGTTGGGGACAAGAAATCACAAAAATCCAATATCTCTGTAAACCCAAATATTAATGCACATATTACAATTTGCTTAAGATGTACAAACACAAAGATATAACATCTAAAACATTTAGCATGGGCTACAGGTACCTTATTCACCACTACCAAATCATATAATCAAATTAATCAAACCTGCTTCACTAATCTACAGTTTTATATTGGCTGAAGGCTAAACCCAACCAACTTTATGGTTCACATATCTATCTTAAGCAAAATCATAACGTGAGGCATTCTAATGAAAAATAACAAGTAATTCATCATGGAACACCTAATGAAAAAATAATTAGAAAGAAGAATGCAGCAAACCAATAGAATTGCAATGCACTAGACTCTTGCATCCACATTTAGGTCCCCATGAAAGATCTCAAAATACAAAATTTATGCCAAATAAATTGAAAGTTCCCAGAAAAGATTGAATATTTATGAAGAATTAAACATCCTTATAGTAATAGCTACAAGCTAAATACCTCAAAACTATTAAATATCCATACAACTGAACAATAGCCAATTAGGATTAATGTGATTCTATTTTAAACCAGTTCAGAAGCAATAAATTGTGAAAAAGATTAAAGCTTGATTCATAACATCACCTTTATGCAACTGAAGCATCGGGCTTTTAAACCTACTATTCCCACGAAACCACCCTCTCTCGAGCCTTGGCTCTCCTGGCGTCTTTGGTTCTGCTGCTTTAATTGGCGTTATTGGCTCAGCTCCGACCGAAACCGAGATGGGTTCTGGTTCCGGCTCCGGCTCGTCAACATCAAGCGAGAAGTAATCGGGAGCAGCGGACTCAACGGAGACAGAATTGACGACATCCAAGGAGATTTCATTACGGAAGACGGTGTAGGGTTGGAGGGGCTGGTCGAGCGGTGGGGAGGGAGGAGCGCTGAGAGAGGAGAGTGGGAGTGGGCTCAAGGTTTCGTAGTGAATTGGCGGTTGTTGGGCTTCCGATTGCAGCTCCATTGGCGATGAATGAGGAGACTTTCGGGGGATTGTGGTTTTTCTACAGGGTTTTGGGGTTCGTTATTGGTAGGGTTTATTGATTTTATTACAGGTTACAGACACCAATTGCAGTTCAGTTTGGGTGTTGTTATGCAAGTTGGGTGTCATGCTATTGACTTGTATGCCCTCCCTTGAACCTCCCTTCCCAAAGTATATTGCAATTTAAAAAAAAAAAAAACTGAAATCTTAATATTATAAATTTAAAATATGATATATTTTTTATATAATTATTTTTTTTTATTTAATAATACACTTGTGATATAATATATATATTTATTTAAGTACATATTATATTTATTTAATA